TTAATTCCAGAAAAATATGCATGAAAAAATTATTTGTTCTCAGTGCAAAATGTTATATTTAGATGAGCAGAGCAATTGTTGTTTTAATCACCATGCAGGGCTGTAATAATAATCTTTATCTATTTTGTGGAATATTCTTTTAAGTCTTTTTATTATAGGAGGGAACATTAATAACATTTCCATCAATTCATACTTTGTATGTAGCATACATACATACACATGGATATATATATATATATATATATATATATATATATATATATATATATATATATATATATATATATATATATATATATATATATATATATATATATATATATATATATATATATATATACACATATATGTATATATATATATACACATATATGTATATATATAAAGTCTTGATTGATCATCTTTGAGTTTTATACATTTTTATTCAAATTCTAGTTAATTAAATAAGTGAAAAATATTTATATGAGAGAACCAAACAGATAAAATTAAAATATAAAAATATTAATAATTATTTTATTTATTGAGGATAAATACAATATTTAAAGTAAGCATCTCAGGTAACATTTAAATGTTTATATGTACAAATGAAGATCTTTTAATTTTTTATTTCCTGAAATATGTGGCACATTGTCTTTCCATACCTGCTCCAGTCACGTTTGATCCCATTTATAGATTTTTTACTTGTGTGATTTCTACTTGTGTCACAAGTTTGAATTGGACCACCAAAAGTTCTGCTCAAAATCTTTCTTAAGATTTAAGGCTGTTCAGTAGGATTGTTTATTTATTGAATTCCACCACAGCATTGTTGCAGCTGTGCCATTTAGTAACTTAATCTAGCAAAGATCAGGAACGAAAGATTGACAGAAACTGCTGAGTTGTTTGCTCCATCAGAGGGCTTTAAGCTATGACCGCCTTATCAGGCGTTTCTGCCATTAGTATAGTAATTAAACATTTTAGATGAACAAAATATTACAAAAAACAAAATTTTGTGGGTTTTGTTTCTTTTTTTTTTACCTTTTCATCTAAAATAAAAAAAAGTATAAAAATAATCACTTAAAATTAACTTTTGAAGGATTTGATCCCAATCGTACGGAAGAGGATTAGGGCCAGTGGAAAAAAAAAAAAAAGTTAAGTTCAGTTTAGTATGGGGAAAAAAGTCAGAATTCTGAGATTAAAGTCAGAATTCTGAGAAAAAAGTCAGAATTCTGAGAAAAAAGTCAGAATTCTGAGATTAAAGTCAGAATTCTGAGACTAAAGTCAGAATTCTGAGATTAAAGTCAGAATTCTTAGAAAAAAAGTCAGAATTCTGACTTTTTTCCCATGTTAAACTGATGTAAAATTTAAAAATCAGTTAACTTTTTTTTCAGTGGCCCTAATCCTCTTCCGTACAATCGTACATTTTAAACGATTGCTCAAAGGTTTGTAAATGAGATCTATGTTTGTAACTGTTTTATGAATTTCTAATTATAGACACATGTAACTGTAAACTGTAATGTAATTTGTAATGTTATCTTTTGCTGCTGTCTTGGCCAGGACTCCCTTGAAAAAGTGATTGTTAATCTCAATGGGACTTTCCCTGGTTAAATAAAGGAATAAAAAAAAGAAAAAAAAACGTAACATTCACTAAAACAGTTTTATTATATAAGATATAGTTATTGTGTCCATCTTGATTAATTGGTGATTATTTTCATTTTGGGGGAAAAATTTGGAGTTTTAATGGTTCCTTAATAGAAACAGACATTCAGAGAAATTGTATTGAATTTTCTTCAAAAGATTAAATATTTCTAGCTAATAATATATATATATTTTTTTTACAAACATAGTACTAGCTCTATGTACATCATACCTTCTATACTCCAAATTGTCCCTAATAGGTATTTACAATCTGTTGTGAGTACAAACAAAGCGTTTCTGCTTGGTTTCACATCAAACCCGTGTGTACAATAGTTCTCTTTGAGAGGAAAAAGCTCAAGTGGAAAACATTCACCAGCATAAACACACTGTTGTTTCTCAAGCTGTCAGCAGTCTGCTGATGAAATGCATGTGTTGTTCAGTTTTCTGGTGAGCTGCCACCACATGATGCTCACATACCTAGCTAAGACCAGAGGAGGAAAGGCTGGAGAGGGGATGGGGGGGGGCACAGTTGTATATTTTGATACTGGTTGGAAAAATTCCTTTGCCCTCTTTTGGCTTGCTGCATCACCCTTGGGTATTTTAAATGTTTTTTTTCTGCCATTTTTTTTGGTGTCTAAATACAGCGCTGTCATGAGAGGGTTCAGTGGAGAGCCACACTGCTGCCTGACGTACACCAGGCGACCTTTGCAGTTCCCACCACAGGAAGTTCACTTTATCTTTTTTTTCCAGGATGTATATTAAAGAATCTCAAACGCGAGAGCAGCAGGGACTCCCCGTGTGAGTGAGATGACGACATCTCGATCGTTTTCATTTTCCCTTGGCCCCTTCAACCCCTGCTTCTGTTTAATTCTGCATCAAAATTCCCTGACTAAACAAGACCTACAAGCTCAGACATAATCCCTGCAACTAAATGTGTTCGATAATAGCATTTTCGTGTTAGCAGTTTGTTTCCTTTTGTCCTGTTTGACACAGTTTGTAGGTCAAGAGGTAATTTAGGTGTTTGCTTAGTGTAACATCAGAGAACCGGTTCATTCAGTCTTTAAAGCCTTTAAGTGTTGACAGGTTAAGTTGGACAAGCTTTTGTAAGCAAGCTGGCCAAGTGAATTTTGTATGTTGAATGGATTTAGTTTCTTTTCTCTCATTGTTTTAGTAAGTCTCAGCTGATAGTCTAAATCATTAGTATTAGTTAATTTGTCTCTTAGGATCTGTTTTTGCTAAAATTTTCTAGTAAATATAGCCCTTCTGTTTATATTTACCATAAAAACATCTTGTGACCTAGATAAAATTACTGCACACGCGTATCAGCAAGTTAAAGCAATGGAGACATGTGAGCGTGGATCTCCCAGCGTAATTACGAAAAGAAAAAAAAGAAAAAGTCAGAGATCATCAGTATCAAAATATTCTCATTATCAGTTCGTATGAAATCGTACGAAAAGTTATGCACACTATTATGTACGTTTTGGACGTTTTTCCTCAAAAAAACAGATCAGTGCGCATGCGCAGGCAGACAGACAAAAAAAGCAGATCCGCGGACGGACGTAAAAATGGGAAAAATTGCAATAATTGCTTCTTCATGTCTCTAACTACATTGCTTGCTGTTTTATACCTTAGGGTCAGGGTTAATTGCATGTTAAATTCGAAGTTATTAAATGGTGCGTAAGATGCGAATGCGCATACGACGAAAAAAACGTCCAAAACGTACAAAATTATGGTGCATAACTTTTCGTACGATTTCATATGAACTCATTATGAGAATACACTGTCAGTATGATGGTTGGAGAACACTAAAGCTATAGCCAATAGTGCTCCTGGTGTTAGTAATGCTTTTAAGTCCTGGCTTTCTGGTAGTGCCGCCGCACTGGATATAGATGGCGAAAGTCTGTTCATGTCAGCTTAATGCGCCCGGTGCTGGAGTTCTATTTATCCTCAGAAAGGACGATCAAAGCACTATCAGGACATACACTTATATTTTAAAGTCTCTTAAACATAAACAATTTATTTGCAAAAATGTATATATCCACAGAGTAGAATAAAATTATACATTTTATGAAGACAAAGGGAAGAATTAAGTTGTAGCTACCCCCTTTGAAAGGAGGTAGGGGTGTTTATTTTATTGCAATATGTAATTTACTGACCTTGAATTTTCTTAGAATGTTGAAAAGGTGGAAGGATTATGGGGAGCACAGAAAGTTTCTCTAAAACCAAAGGAAAAAAAGTTTTCTGAACTACTTCCTCAAAACATCCCAATGTTTCTGGGAGACGTCATAAAAGATGTTAGTTTATACAGGAGGGTATTGGTCATAAAAACCACTCCATATGTGTGAAATACCTAGTCCGAACCAGTGTTTGGAAAGTTAGTAATATATTCCATATTACAAGTTATTTGCTTTGTTAGAAAATAATACATTTCTTTACAATATTACCATCTTTATGTATAAAGTTACTGATTACTTTTTAGTTACTTTTGCAAAAATAAACATTTGAAGGTGTGAAATATATTTTCATGAATAGCTGAATCACAAAATTGTAGATAGAGAATAATTAAACAAGAAAAACTTAATACGACATGAAACTTTTGTTTGACAACTACTTAAAGGCTAAAGAGGATTTTTTTAAATAGTATATAAATTCGATTGTCACGGTTAAAATGAACTATCTGTTCTTATCCATTTCTGTGACATAATCACAATAGTGAGAGTATTGCCACTTGGAAAATGTTGAATCAATTGTAGCCATTTTGCCGCCACCGTCTTCTTCTTCTTTTGCTTTAAAAACCATCAGCTTCTTCTGTTGTTTTAAACCTGTCTTCTACTGTTTTAAAACCGTCTTCTCCTGATATAAAACAACACTCCTGAAAAAACAGTCTTCTCTTTTTTAAGCTGTTGGCCGTGGGCTGTTCAGCTGTTATTCGTTACCTACCATAATAACTGTAGTAATATTACAGAAATTTCATTTGTAATCCGTTACTGCTGAACCAGACTAAATGTGAGATTAAATGTGTAATTTAGTCTGTCCCCGATTAATGAGACATCGGAAGATTGTTGATGAGAACAACCGGTTGTCTCTCAAATTGCTGCCTGTGCCTATTGGCCAACGCTCTGACCAATGAGCGCAACTGACTGTGACGTAGTTAGCATGACAAGAAGCTGGTGGGGGAGGGTAAACAAACAGCCTGTCGGTAAAACAGCGAATACGACTTTCTTATAAATAAATGAGCGTAGAGTCTAATCCTTCCAAAACTGATTCAAAAGCTGAGTCAAACGAGAACTGTTCAATAGTTGTTGCCATCTTTCTTGTTGTGCTTTCTCCTGCGTTGCGCAGCTTTGTCGTAACGTCCTCAAAACCCCGCCTGCTTTACATCCAGAAATTCAAAACACATCTCTGAGTTGTGATTGGCCCGCCAGTTCTAAGACCTGGGGCATTGATCGAGGCTAGACCAATCGCAGGCAAAAATGATTTTTGCCGCTGGCAGGTGGGGCCAGTTTACGCCATATATTAGCTAAACGTCATATATTAGAATTACACGAGTAACGCAATACCCCAACACTGGTCCTAACAGACAACACACTGAAGCAGATGGCCTAAAGCAGCAGAGGACTACTCGTGAAGCTCAAGTAAGCTAACTTTGCCTCCTACAGTAGAACATAATTTGACATGGAAAAAAAAAAAAAAACACTGATTGCTTTAACAACCTGATGACAGCCAGGGTTTAAAGATACAGAGGTTATTTTCTTGGTATACTCATGTACCCATTGTTCTGACAGCTACATCCATCAATGACAACAAGCTGACTGTACTTTAAAGGCCACTCTGACAGAGCACCTTTGGGATGTGGTGCAACAGGACATTCAGGTTATGGATGTTTACCTACAGACCAACACTTTCATGTCTTTATTGTTCTAAAGAATCCTGGTTACTTCAAAGAGTGTGGGAGCACCTATGAATACTTGCTATGACCCTTAGAGATAATTATACTTTGAAACTGCTTTACCTGCATTGTATCTCAAGGTATGTACTTTAATTCCAGGTTAGGTGATGCCAGGTTCCAGCTGGGAGTGCAAAACGTTGCTGCTTTGCATGCAGACGGTATCAAATGAGCCAGCAAACAGACGGACTCCAAACACCTGATCGCTGCGGACCATCTGTGTTACCAGAATATAAATGGACTGCTCTGTCCACATCGTAAACCTTACATCAGACACTTGCTTCAATTTTCTCCTCAATGAATGGAAAGTAATAGCAGCCACCCCCGCCCCCCAAAAAAACCTCCCCCCTCCCTCCATGTAAGAAGGCAAATTAAAAGAGCGACTCAAACATGTAATCGTCCAACTCAGTCATTATTCGCAGGATCTGAATGAATCATTCAGAAAATCAAATAAAGAGAGAAACGAGTCCAGCACCTAGAAAGAAAAGACTGTGTGTGTTTGTGTAGTGGGGGGGTCTGTGTTGACCTCTTTTCAGTGGCCCTCTCTTTCACACTAGGCATGGGGGCATGTGGACAAAATGAATTGGTTCCTGGGGCAAAAGGGGGTGCACTAATCAATGTCCAATCTCCCCCTTCCATCCATTTTCTGGTGCAGGAACATCCTGGCATGTGCTCTTTTTTTTTAGGAGGTATTGATCACAGAAACACTTTTTGGCCAAGAGGCTTTTGAATCTCAGAGCTCTACATTTTCTAAAGGGCTTAAAACAGACAATAGGGATCGTTGAAAACTCACATGGAATGCAAGTACCTCTTAAGTCTTTAGCTTGCTCCCCTGCATTCTTTCCCTGCAGATGGCCATTTAAATATTTGTTTAAATGTATTATTTCACTTATAGCTTAATGTATAACCCACAGCTAAACCAATTCACAATGAGGGCTATTCAAGACGGCCGATCAGAGATTCATTCATTGGCGTTTCCAAGTGGCCATCCCTCAAAGAGGCGTTTGTCGAGGATGAAAAGGAGATTACGTTCAAGACACCCTCATGGCTATGCTTGTGACCGTACAATGTCAAGAATTGCAGACTTGTGCATGCTGTTACAGATGTGTGAAAGGATAAGTCTTTTAAGTACAAATGGTGGTATTGCTTATCATGTTGGAAGTTCTTTGCTCTCTGAATGATTTTCAAGAACGATGCTTCTAGGAATTAAAATGCTCCATCCATCCTTTGGCTATACCGGTTTGTCCTTACAAGGTTGCATCTCTCTAATGGTCAATGGGCAAGAGGCAACCCTGGACAGCTTTCCTAATCAATTGCACCGGCAATACTAAGACATTTAGGGCAAACACCCAGATGAACACTGACTCTTATGTGCTATTAAGAGTGAGTGCTGGACCTACAGTAACATGGGTATTTTTGACCTCTGGAAGGAAGTTAAATATCTAGAGAATACCTATAGGAGTCATAATGTAATATTTTACTCGTACACTCCTGAAATTGTCTTCATGTTCATGTATAATTCTTTTCATACACCCTTTTTTCTCACAAGAAAGAATTTGACTGTTCCGTATGCCTGTACCTGTGCATGTAATGTTAGGAAAAATCTAATTTAGCCATTGTTTGTTTACCAGTCACACTTTTTAGCTTACACAAAAGCTAAAAAGTAAAGCAAGTAACAACAGTTGCACCAAATGCCGGTAGCTAAATCCCTGATTTACTCCTTTTGGTAGAATAGAGTTGGGAGTGGTGCAAGTTGGGATCAAAATTGTCTTGTGGAGAGTGCACTCTACCGGAGTGTCCACTCTCTTGGGCTTTACTGGTTAAAAAAGAGCAAAAAGTTAAAAACCCAGCCAATTTCACACCCGGGATTGAAGGTTTTTAACTGCACCCCAATGCCAGACAGGTTTCAACATGAAAAGGTCACATTTTTGGGTTATGAACCCCTTAAGAATCCATAGGTAGAGCAACTCAAGGCTAGTATTCATATCCAGGATGAACATTTGAATGCTAACATCCCAGGTTCAAGGTGATCCACGCTGTAATATAATCACCTCACACCTGTCCATGTGGCAAAGACTGAATTTTGCTTTGCATGCTGGTGATTGTCCACTATCAGTCTGTCTCAACCACTATGTTTGCTGCGCTGTAAAACAACACTGCTGCGTACAATTCTCCCAATATGACCAAAACATGTATTAGACTAATACACATGTATTAGCCTGAAGCTGCTTTGCTGACATTATTAACCCCAACAAGGAAGAAACTTGTTTGAAGATGCAGGATTTCCTCAAAAGTAGTTAATCACAAGTGGTGCATTTTCCAGTTGGTTACCTCCCTCAAAGTGGCAAAATTTAAAACAAATGCGCAAAAAACAGATCCATGCTTGAATAGGGGAGAAGTTATGGCTGCGTGGAAAGGAAGCCACCAACACAGAGAGGTAGCATGCACTATGTGACATTTTGGAGTCTTTTTCTGCTTCTGTCTCCTTGAACCCCAGTCGGCCTCTGCAGATGGCCGCTCACACTGAGCCTGGTTCTGCTGGAGGTTTCTTCCTGTTAAAAGGGAGTTTTTCCTCTCCACTGTCGCTACAAGCATGCTTAGTGTGAGGGATTGTATTTGACTCAATGAGTCGATGCAATCAACTGGTTTTCCTTAGATAGAAAACTTTGAATCAATTTGACTGTATGATATGGTGAACTGTAAAGTGCCTTGAGATGACGTGTGGTTAATTGGCGCTATAGAAATAAACTGAATTGAATTGTATGTAAAACCTTTGACATGCTCGTGGAGAGCAATTTATCGTTGTGCAATTTAAATAAAAACTGTTTGTATTTCATACAGTGTAGCTGTATGTAAGACCAAACCAGGATCTATTAAGTAAAAAAATTAAAATAAAAAATCAACCAACAATTTTAAAATCTTCCGGTGTGAACCAGTCTTAATCTAAAAACCATTTACTGCTACATTTGTTCTACAGACTCTAACTGAAGGGTCATGATTGGAGCAGCAGAAACAGCGTAAAGTCAAACCCCTTTATAATCACAGCTGCTGGAGTCATTCCACCCTACAAAGGAACAGTATCAAATCTAAGCCACGGTGATCCATATTCATGGTCAATCTGTGCTTATTATCACCATTTATTTGCAAGGCACACGGTCTGCTTTTTGAGAACCGTGATCTTTCAATAGCTTTAAGTGTTATCATTAAGCTGTTACCCCCCCACCACCACCACATTATCCCTGGTATAGTTTGAAGCTGTCTGGGGGCTTTGTGACCTCAGCTGGGTCCTCCTTCATTCCTTGAGCAGATGTTAGAAAAAAGCCCCCCCCCCTCCCATTCTACACGCACTCAACCAGACCCTCAGCCTGCTCACCTCAAACAACCATCCCCTTCGCATACAGACACACCATCCTGCCTCGCCTCCTCCCTACACCCATGGCATCTAATTAGGTCGGCAACACAAAGACTCCCAGATGTCAGCGTCCTCCTGGCCTCCTTTGATTATATCCTTTCCACCCCACTGGCATGCTCAGTCATTGGCTTTACGGGGGGCTGCCGGATGGGAGGTGTGTGGGCCTATAGGCCTTGACGCGTGTCACTTTGGGCAACACCGCACTGCTTTAACAGATCAGTAATTGCTCTTGGTGTAAATCACTGGAATTTGTGTTTGAGGGAGTGGAGTCATGAGTACGTTTGTCGTACAAGGACCACCACTGGGCTTGTTTCATAAAAGCTGCACTTTAGCTGAATTTACTAGAGAGAAATTACTTACTTTGATCTTGGGATCAACTTTAATTGGTCGCTGTATCAGGTTTTGTCAATAGAACCTGTCACTGCATGTTCTTACCACCCTCAGTCCAGGCCATGACTCTCGAAGTGTTTCATTACCCTTTTAATTAATCTGTGGATAGTCAACAAGTTGGTCGTCTGAGGAAAATTGGCCATGGGGGCTGCTATTTAAACCAGGGGACCACAGTCATGACCGTAACTCTCATCAGCCAGTCAAAATTCCTGCCCGGTAAATAATTCAAGGTTTAGATCTAGTACTTCCTCTGCACAGCCAAGAAACATGTACCTTAAAATTTTTTTTTTATTCAAATAGAAAATCTACATTAGTGTAACATTAGCGACAGTGTCGTGTCTGGCGATGTGGCAATAAGAATAATTGTCTTGACGCCAAAAAAGAGCCTTACAGATTTAGCTCTCACAAGTGGAGCAGTACGGCTATTTCCACAGTGTTCCGCTTGATTTATGCATATAAATAGCTTTATTATGATTGTGCATGGAGTTTAAAAGATTATAACGATACTGCAATGTAAGTAGAACAGGACAGGAAAAACTGAAAAAAAGGAGAAAAGATGAAAGAAAGAAGAGATAAAAGGGAGACAATGATAAAACTTCTTAACTCTGCTTCATCTCCTGCAAAGAGAGATGTAAAAAGAACAACGCAACCAACGGATATAGTATAAGAGATACAATAAAGTAGCACCTTGATACTATCGCTGAAGTTTAAGAAGTATTATTTAATCTGACATGTACTCCCTGGTAGCTGAAGATATGGAAGTGACTCTCTAAGTACCTGGAACCAAGCACCAGTAGTTGTTTGTATGAGTGCACTTGTGCATGTAAAGTTTATCCAAAGGGAAAATGCTCAATAGTGGTTGTGAAGAGCCAAAGACCCACCCCGCCATAGCACCCACAGAGGACAGGGTGTGTTGCTCTGATACACTGTCAGACTCTTTACCAATTTATTTCCAATAAAATGGACGCAATTGTTATATAGCTCTGTTAGTACAATGCAGCATTTATTGCAGGGAGTGCCTTCAAACCCCTTCCTCATCTAGAGACAATGTGTGGAAGTTATGCTGCTCCTCAATGTAGCATGGCTATTTAGTTTGTAACTTAAAGGCATACTATGCAACATTTTTCAGTTAATTAATGTGTTCCATAACGTTTTGGATGATTAAATGAGTCATTTCAGGTCGAACAAAGGTTTTCTCGGCCGCCCTGGTGGTCTGTAGGGGAAATACCGTACTTGCAATTGCAGGAGCCCTCGGCCCGCACCCACAGGCTCAGAAGTCTCCGGCATCGCGAGAGTCGGTCTTGCTTTACGGCAAGAACTGCCGTAAAGCAAGAAAATTGGAACAAAATAGTCACTTACCACAGTAGACATGGTGATTCGTTGCGTTCGCCTGTCTGCAAAGCTCAAAACAACCGCACCTGGCTTAACGGAGAAACCAGGAGAACAGCTGAGTAGGGCTGCAACAACAAATCGATAAAATCGACTTTTAAAAGCGTTGGCAACGAATTTAATCATCGATTAGTTGTGTCGCGCGATTAATGCGTCATCCGCCGCCGCCGTCATCCGGGGGAAGAAAAAAAAATATGGCAGAGCGAGTCAGCGCCGCAGTTGCAGTGTTGCCAACTCAGCGACTTTTCAGACCCCTCCAGCGACTATTTTTCAAAAAAGCGACTGGCGACA